CCGACGCACTTAGCAGAATCCATGTTACCACACCCGCTAAGGAAAATGAAGACAATAAACCTATAGTCAGCCAAGAAGACAAGGCAAGGATTCTCAGGGAAATGCATGAAAACCCAACTGGCGGTCATTTAGGTATGAATAGGACATATGAAAGAATAAAGCTTTTCGTAACCTGGCCAGGTATGAAACAGGAAATCGAAGATTATGTTAGATGTTGTGAAATTTGTCAGAAAAACAAAATTACACAAAACAAAACTAAAATGCCCCTGCAAATCACAACTACGCCGGATGTAGTTTGGGAAAAATGTTCATTGGACATAGTTGGACCCCTGACCCTTACAGCAGAGGGAAACAAATATTTGTTAACATTTCAGGACGAGCTGTCTAAATTCACGTTAGCCGTACCCATCCAGCAACAAGATGCAGGAACCGTAGCTAAGGCTTTCGTAGAGGAAGTAGTGTTAAAATTCGGGATTCCACAGGTACTTTTGACAGATCAAGGTTCTAATTTTCTCAGTGAACTATTTGCTAACATGTGCAAACTTTTGAAAATTAAGAGAATTAAGACAACAGCGTATCACCCCCAATCAAACGGAGCGCTAGAGCGCACGCACAGGGTGTTAGCTGAATATCTTAGATGTTACATTTTGGAAGACCAGACCAATTGGGATAAATGGATACCTTACGCCACTTTTGTGTTCAATACGACACCTCACACCTCCACAGGTTTCACGCCGCATGAGCTCATGTTCGGTAGGAAGCCGAATATACCTGGCATACTACAGAAAGAAGCCCCAGGCGTACAGTATACGTATGATAACTACGTAAGGGAATTGCAGTCTAGGCTTCAGTCCAGTTATGAATTAGCTAAGAGCAATCTGATAGCTAAGAAGGAACGAAGTAAGGAACAGCAAGACAAAACTGTAAACATTCCGTTGTTTGTAATAGGGGATAAAGTCTTACTCCATGACGAAAGAATTAGGAGAGGAAGGTCATTGAAACTGTCACCCCCTTGGATAGGACCCTATGAAATAGCAGAGGTCGACGACGTAAATATTACGCTAAAATTACCAAGGAACAAGACCCTCAAGGTCCACGCCAACAGACTGAAACCGTTCTTTGGCTGATTGCAGGGCCATGCCGGCCAGAATGTGGACCCTCTGCAGCATACTAATGTTGCTAAAGCAGACAGCTTCTCTCGACGTCACCATAGAGAAATACACTGAATCCCCAGGCTTGTATTATGACGACGCAGGTACCGCACAGCTGTACAATACAGAATGGAAGGTTGTCACGTATGTAAATCTGGAAGAGGCTAATCAAAATTTGGAAATTGTAAAGAAATATGCCAGTTTATCGATACAATTTTGTAAGGAGCACGAACACACATTTTGGATCAATTTCACTGATTGCATGAAAACCATTAGATATTTGGATAAACAGATTGAGGAGGTAGAAAATATGAAACTACTTGTAAAACAGTTAACCAGAATTGATGAGGATGCGACCCAGTTACGTTCTAAAAGAGGTGTTTTTAATTTCATTGGTGGAATTAGCAAAATTTTGTTTGGTACTATGGATAGTGAAGATGCTTCATATTATACGGACAAAATTTCGGTTTTAGAGAGGGAACAAATTGAGTTTTTGAAACTTTCCAAGGAACAGATATCAGTTGTAAAATCGACCTTAAGATCTATATACACGACGTTACAGGACGTATATGCCAACGAGAGGGTACTATCAAAAAGGTTGGAGAACATGGCCAGGCACGTTAATGAACGCGATGGCGAGATAAAGAGAATGTTTACTTCTACCTCTATGTTGCTTGTTGTAAACGAACATTCGGCACAATTACATCGAGCTTTGGGTGAATGTAGATGGGATTATGAAATCTTAATTGAAGCCATTATTAATGCTCAGAAGGGCGTAATTCAGCCACATATTATTACACCAGCACAGATTCTGAATCAGTTGAAATTAAATCAAGCTGACATCCCGAGTGACCTGACATTGCCAATTCCATTGAGTGCAGCCTACCAGCATTTAGTTTTAAGGATTAGTGAAGTAGATATAGTTTTGAAAGGAAATTATTTTGTGTATGTAATTCGCATACCTTTGACAAGTCATGTGAAATATAGTGTGTATCATGTTTTGCCATTGCCGATCAAGATAAGGAATACTAACTTTAAATTTACATTTATATCGCCAGAACATGAGTATTTGTTAATGGACATAGCCAAGCAATATTATGCTAGATTAAGGGTACACGAATTTAAGGAGTGTAAACTAATGGCTACCAACCATCGGCTGTGCAGGCAAAATTACCCTGTACAAGTGAAACATGTAAATGAAGAGTGTGAAGCCGAACTGCTTCAGTCCATTAGAAATATACCCAGCAGTTGTTCTCAGAGAATAGTAGAACTGAACCAAACACTGTGGACCCAGTTAAATAACAATGAATGGTTATATGTTGCTCCAGTAGTGGATACACTCACTGTGCTGTGTTCGGGTCAGGAACCCTCTGACGTTCAGATACATGGCACAGGAAAGCTCAAGTTGCACGGCTTGTGTAAGGGCTACGGGAGCAAGGTTCTCATTCAGGCCCATGCTACCGTTGCTTCCAACAATACAGGCAAGGATATTATTCCACCCCTAACCCTTGAATATGACTGTTGCTTGCCTGAAGAAAGAAATATAAAACTAAACAAAATGCATTTGGATCTACCGATAAAAGGTGTGGTCAGTCATCTTGATGACTTAAAATTAGCAAGTTACAGAGTAGAGGAGGTAGAGAAACTCATATCAGAGGAAGAGCTAAAACTGAAGCACTCCAATATAGATTCTCATTTGTCATTTTTGTACTATGTAGGAATGATTACTACATGTTTAATTTTGGTCATTTTTTGTTACTGTTGTTGCTGCAATTGTTGCCGTAGAAGGTGCCCTAATTTCCTTAAATGGTGGAAAGATAACAACCCATGTACAACAATTGTGTTTAAGCCCAAAATAGTAAAGTCAATTCAGTCATCTAGAGAAAGTTTGCAATTTCCTTCGTCTAGGCCTAGCATTAAGCACAGAGGATCGCAAAATGACAGTCAGGAAATTACTGAGTTAGTGTCCTTGACTGCCAGCACTGGTCCTTCTGGCAAGCGTTAGCACATGGCAATGCTTGGCAGCATTGATTTCCAATATAAGGATTTTATGTTTGTGTAATATCTTATTCATCTTTTAAGTGTAATAACAAGTAATTTTGTGTCATGTAATCAGTTGGTTTCACAGTGATGTGAACGAGTATGATTTTGAAGGAGTGCGGATGCTGAGCATATGGTATCACGTGCGTATGTAAGTTAATTACAATGTATTAATGTAACAGTAAGAAAAAATCTAAGCAAATCATTGCTTAAATTTTTTTTGTAAGGGGGAAGGTGTAATATGTATTCAACCCCCGCATTATTTTACGAGATGTGATAGTGTCCCCTGCACCACGAGCTACCCTACTTGTTTATTCTAAGTTGTCCTTTTCCTGTATGGGGTAGTCTAGACCCTGAAATTCTGAGTGAATACAAAATAAGAGGTTCACCCTTTTGGGTACCTTCTGTTCACTCATCACTCTAGCAACTCCCAGACAGGACTGAACAGGTTCTAACCTGAACAGGAGGGAGGGTGGAGGTTGTGGCTTCACTCTCGCACAGCTGCTGCTCAGTGCGGCTTGTTTACACATAAATCAGTCTCGGTCATATTTGAACCACCTTGTATATATGAATGGTAACAGTTTTTGTTGAGATAATGGTCTGTTTCTGCTAGACCCAATGAGGTCATTCTATTTCTCAATTGACATAATTCTTCCAGGCACACTATGGCCCTTGTGTCAACTCAGTCTCTAACATGAATGAGTACCAGGAATCTTCCTAGGGGGAAAAGAGTGGCTGATGAGTAAGGCTGACAACCTCACTGCCATCTGTGAGCCGATTGTCTAGAAGATGTGGGAGCCATGACATCTCACAATCCTGTGGGCCTCCATGACCTGTTACAGGGATACCTTTACCTTCTACCTGCAAGATGGACAGATTTTGCAGGTCAGAAGGAAGCTGAAAAGGTAGAACCAGTTCTAAATAGGTGAAGTGAAATTGTGGGAGAGCACCCTTAGATGTAAGTTTCAGAGTACTGAAGGTATGCAAAATAAAGCTAATGAAGATCCTTATTTCATTATAATTTGAATGATAAAATGGAAGTTTGGGGTGATCACAGTGGTATGAAATGTCTTTGCTTACTTGAACACTGGGATTGTGGGTTCAAATCCTACTCGAGGCATGGTCTGTGTTTCTTTGTGTTGTCGTGGGTAGGTAGAAGCCTTGCAATGGGCTAATCCTCTGTCCAGGAAGTCTTACCAACTATCTCTATGATTCACAGTTTCAGATTAATTCTGAATGGAAACAGGCCAGATGGTGTATTTCATCAAGAAAAAGAAGGCAAATGGGAGCTTGGAAGAGCTAATTGCGATTCTCTTATTGTTACAGTAAGGGAAAGTAAAAGTTGACATATTTTGGAAGGTTTTTAGAAGGATAATAGTATGTATTTTAAGTGGTAAAGTTAGAGAGATCCAATCACAAACTGTGATTGGGTTTCTGTGTAACATACCCAGGGGTTCTCTTTGATTTCAGCAACGATTTGTTTTACAAGTGTCCAAAATTCTGTATTCTGTTCAGAATATTAGGCAATGGATAAAGACCAATCTATTTAAGGCTTGTTTTGGGAGCAACAAATTGAATACTACACCGAGAAATATCTTAACTGGAGAAAATCTGACAGTGAGACTGACTTGAATCATTGCCAGTGAATGTCAGATGAGGAAGAACTTTAAACCAAGGAACATCAAATGCGGGTTCCACTGTAATCCTAAGTTTATATACCATCACCAGAACCCTTCAGACGAGACTTAATATCTGTACAACTGGAGAACAATAGTACAGTGATGGCTTGATCACCAAGTAATAACATACCTCTTTTATTTTACACTTTATCTATGTGAAGCGAATATTTAGGTGGACAGTCAAATGGGTCTTCAGGTTCATCCAGGACTGGAAAGGACTCCAGCTTGCTGGTTCGTCTTTCAGGAGCCAAGCAGAGCCACAATGCTAGTAGAACCGCAAATGTGATAGCACCTGCTACAAGCAGACGTGGCAGACCTGATTTACGAGCTGCACAATCCAACCAGTCACCTCCAAAGCTACGAGCTGTTTCCAAAAAATGTTGATCTCTCACAGCGCCAAGCTAAAAAAGAAAAAAAAAAAGGAGGTGGAGGAAGAAAAATTATATTTAAAGACATACCTAGGTCTCTTGTTGCATCTGCATTTTGAAGGGAGGGAAGGTGATGCTTTTGTTTGAACTAGCACATACACACCATGCAATCCTTATCTCAGGTAGTGGACTCTTATCAAATCAATGGCACATTATGTTGAAAATGATCAGGTCTAAAAACACAGAGAGTATGTATTATACAGATATTAATTACTTTCATATATTATGAACCACAAAATCCATTGCAAAATTATGTTCTACCATTTTAAGCTCTGGTTCATAGTGTTAAGTTTCATTCAGAATTATAGCTTTTTAATTTTTATCCTCAAAGTTTGAAAAGATTTTTGATGTGTTATATATTCAGATATTTTTGAACTTAATAACTGCCTGCTTTAAGAATATTAATAGAGAACATATCCCCTTAAACTTACTGCATACTCTTCTGGTGGCATTGTTTTCACGTGTGTTTTGGGTAAACGACCAGTGCTCTGATCAACTTTGCCATTGCTGTCCCCATTTCCAAAGCCCCAACTGCGTTCAAGTTGGCGCTTTAATCCCGGATCTGTCAGGACATCATCTGGTTCAAAGTCACCTGCTGATCAAAAGGCAACAAGTTATTACAAGAAAAGTATACTGCACTAAATCTCTATAGTCTTAGTCTTCTGCCTTACTGGTTATAAGAGTAAATTCAATTTTTACATGTTGGATGAGAAAAGAGTTATTCAAATTATGTAAAGACACCTTTGAATTTTCTCAACAGACATGATGAAACCATAAAATCACTGATAAAACTTCAGATCATCATTATTTATATAACTATTAACATGAGGTTTTCATTCAGAACATCATAAATTGTAAAGCATACACATGCAAAAAAAAAAAATGGATAAGCATTACTGAATGAAAATTTTTAAGACAGACATACCAGTATTTAATGCACAACACATGTATCACAGTACAGTGCTGTTTTTTGTACATTGTAAATATGTTATACATTTCACACTTCAATTTCTTTCTTATTCCTTCCTGATTTCTACACTTTCTTAACAGATCACTGCCACTGATTTCCGTTGCAGTCTTCAGAGGTTTATAATTGTCTTTACAAATCTATTAGGTGTCTGTTATTATATTTCTTAAGTTTCATTTGTTTGCATTTACAAATTATAAAGAGGGGTAGTCATTAATTATACTTGTAACTCAGTATTTTCTCATACATAAACAAAAAACAAACAAACTCTGTGGCTTGTAGTCCACAAGCGAACTATACCACCCGAGCAACTGCTGCTTGTCGGCAAAGCTAGTGCCAACTTTTGCACATAGAGGGTGTCATGTGTTCAGCACAACACTTCCCTCCATGGCCGTTAATCTCGGTTTTCTAGACTGGAGCAGCTATTTCCTTGAAATAGCTCCTCAATTATCCTCATGAGGCTGAGTGGACCCCATTTCTGACCCACTACTTCTCAGAAAATCTGGTAGGGCTACGAATCGAACCCGGACCTTTGGATCTGTAGGCAGGAACTCTTGACCTTTTCTCATACATAGCAAAATAAAAGCAAAGCTTTTTAAATGTTCAGATGTTCTGAAACAATTATGGAAACCAACTTCAAGCTTACAACTTAAATTCACAACATTCATGCCACTAGTACTTTTATTATTTCTGAGACCACTATTTTAACAGTCTTGACTTATATTTCTTGTTCATGCATACAAACATCTGCTGTATAGGTAATGAAGCTTACCAGGTTGTAGCATCAGGACACTGTTACCATCCTCAACATAAAGTGACCAGCTAATTTGTGCTACCAGAGAGTCCACCTGGGTGCAGTGGAAAAAGACAGTTTTTATTTGATAAATGACCTTAGCAGTTTAGCCACAGAAAGTTATAAGTGTATTCTGTATTATTTTATTTAATATAAACAAAATATTTACTAACTTTCTTCTGCTTAGCCATACTTGCACAGCCAAGATTACATCCATACCGATCCTTGGTGTGGCTATACGCTTCCATGCAAGCTGTAATAAAATATATGTAATTTAAAACTAACATTTTGATAATGTTTTTTGATGTTTTGTTACTGATAAGAGCAGATGGCAAGGTCAAGGTGTAATAATAAGGGAAGAAAATTCTATAGTTACCCATGCACTCTGCAGTGGATCTAAATTTTCCAAAATAATATCCGTATCTGTAGAACTTTATTCATGCATGCATAAGGCAGAAATAGCTTTTGACACTGACAGGCCCCTAAAACCTCCACACATATATGTGTATATGTACAAACTTATACCAGAGTGTGCTGTGTGTCTGTATTTGAATCTGCTGTACATTTGCCCTCTTTAAGAAGAAACATGGGAGATAATTATATGAGAAGTTCATAAACTCTAAGATATACAAGTATTTTATAGCTATGTTTATGTATACAAGGAGCCGGGGTAGCATAGTTGGTATAGTGACAGGCTACAGGCTGGATGACTAAGGGGTTGAAATTTGAGTCCCAGTAGGGTCAAGAATTTTCTCTTCTCCAAATCGTCCAGACCAGCTCTGGGGTCCAACCAACCTCCTATGCCATGGGTACTGGAGACTCTTTCCCCGGGGGTAAAATGGCCAGGACGCGAAGCTCACCATTCACCTCCAGCTAGTGCCAAGATCAAGAAAATGTGGATCTATACATCCACTCCCCCATATGCCTTCATGGCGTAGTGCTTAGTTTGTTGAGCACAGGGAAACTTTTACCTTTTTTTATGTTTACTAGTAAATGTTTATGCTGGAAATTTCTTAAAAGGAAATCTGGACCTGATAAAGATCAGTTTCTTTGAGAACTGGAAGAGAAATTGAACTAAAGAGAACTAAGCCTGTGAGTATGTGTTTCCAACATTACAAATATAGGCTTACTACAATACAATAACTTCAGCAATGAAGTTTGTTTTCTTTTTCTTTCAAAAAATTTCTATTATAGATTTACTGATGATTATAATATTACTGCTCTGTAATTTAATCTTCAGGTTCAACTTCTACAGTTCGCCAAGTTAATTCAAGTGTTCTATCCAATGTAAAAAGATTGGACATCAAAATAAAGTAGCAAGGAACAGTTCTACATTGTCACTTGTATTGAAGAGTACTATCTTTTGGGATGTGATGCTATGTAGTTCAGCAGAAGCTCACCACTATTTCAGAGGAACATACTACCTCCATCTTCAAGGTTAAAGAGTAAGTCATGAAAGTCACATTCTAGAAAACTGTACCCTTCATGGTCCTACTGTGAGAACCTACATCTGACTAATTACATTCTTCTTCAGTCATTATCTATAAAATGTTCAATGTGCATGTGAACATTCTACATACAAGTCTTCCTAGATTTATGCAAACAGTTGTGTCCCAAAGGAAAGCCACAGACAGTGAAATCAAATAAATCAAACACATTTTTTCTTCCTCCCTTGCATCCTTCTGCAACTCGCACAATATTGTACATGACTGTCTTTTCTGCATGCATGGATTCACATTGAAGTGAGTGCTATCAATTGAAATAAGTCTGAATTAATTCAGTGCATTATAACAAAATCACATTTTTTTTAACTTGCATATAACAAGGGGTAATCAGCTTCATGCTCAGGTTTTTATACCTCCCAGAGAAAGTGTCCCCTGGTATGCACTCTAGGGGAGACTGGGTGGACCCCTGCGTCAGTCTAGACACGATGGAAAGTAGAAAAATCTCTTTGTCTTGCCAGGAATTGAACCACAACCATCCAGGTCCATAGCCTGTTGCTATACCAATTGAACTAGCCCAGTTCCCATATAAAAAGGGGTACCTGTACTTTATAAATCATCTTACTGTTGTACACTTTTGTCTACTACAGCATGATTATCACCATGTTCATTTGATATGGTGCTGTATGCACTCACTAACTTTATGGGCTAGGTCTACCTTGAGCAACTGTTATGTAACCAATTAAGAAATGTCTTGCTTAAGAAAACTGCTGAGAAATCAAACCCACATACATGCTTGACAGGCATCTTTGGTACTGTTCAAGTCTGAATTTTCCTTGTCATCAATCAGATGTATTAGAGTAAAAAACCTGCAGCCTTGCCGACAGCATGATCCATATTTTACCTGAAAACATAAAAGAAATACAGCCTTTGTATGATCATGGAGTGGTATAGGGAACTACAAAAAATCCCAAACATCTCAGATGGAATGGATTGTGAGTTATTAATGACATTATCAACTGCAAGTTATTCAGCACTGCACGATATGAAGATCATGTACAGTGAATTTAAGAGTAATGGAGAGGAATTGGTCATGGCACATTTCAAAGTATGATTCAGACCATAAGTAGTGAGGAAAATCTCAGAACCCTTCAGGATTTCCTGGCCAAGATTTGAATTGGGCATTTCGTGAATGTCAGAAGTATTACTGCCTGAACCAATCTGTTCAGCTGGTATCCATAAATTTGTCTTATTTTGTGGGTTATTTAACAACACTTTCAGTATCTCAGACTCTTATGGTATCAGGTGGTAGGGATAATGATCAAACTGTTAAGGATCTGGAAGGAAGCAGTGATGACCTATTCAAGGTACTATCATGGCATAACAGACACCAAATTCAGCGACATTAGGGAGGCAATAAGTTTATTACAGTGCGCTGGGTTAAGTTCGGCGTGTTTAAGAAATGGGGTGATTATGAGAATGGTTGAGGAAAACAGCACAAAACCTCACTCAAGATATCAAGTTGTGAACTGGGCAACTCCAGAGTACAAGAGCACTTTTCCTGCTAGACCAACTAGTTTGGTCATACGTGCTTCTTCCTCAGTCATGTAATTACAAGCAAATGCATTACTCAACCGAAAAGTTATTTTGTATGACAGCATAAATAATGTACTCGCACAAGTAGTTTCCTTAAACTTTTATAACATCGGAAATCTCATGAAAACTACATAGCTGACGTTTATTGCCGGTAAGGGGGCGTGTCAGTAATGCGTGAAAGCAGCGTAATTTCAACGGAATGTCAGATCACTACTTACATTGGGAACTGAATTTCCGGGATATGTCTTCTCACAATATGCCTCACATGGGTCCACCGTGTTCAGCACATCATAAAACAAATCAGACTCAACATATCTGCTACACAGTAATACCAGAAAGCTCAGAAATACTGTACTTTTCGCCATTCTCTGCTACATCAGATTATTATGGAAAAATTTCGTATACCAGAGGTATTAGTTGTTTTCTTCTGCTATGGAAACTCAACAGTGGTTGAATATGTGAATGATGTAATCCAATCAGGTTACACGAACTTTGAATTTGTCCAATCAAATTAAGACAATTTTCCTTGTGCGTTCTTATGATATTCTGGAATCAATTTCGTCGTAATCGAGTGTTCCTAAAATAGACTGATTCTTTCTGTAGTTCTAGACTTATTTTCTTCTATATTGTGAAATTTTTGTGAGGTCTGGATTGTGTAATTCTTGCAGGTATCCGTGGACCTAGGTTCGTCTGCGGATATTGATGCGTCCACTTCCACTATCGATATTATTATCATGGTGGTCAACCATGTGGCGCGAAAAACAAAAGAGCCGGAGTTTTTACGTGTGGGGCATTTACTCACACACACGAAACTTTTAGCCACATACCTTGGAACAGAGTTCTAGGGATATGCGAAATTTTAGAAAGTTGAATCAAAACAGTGCTGTGCCTATGTTTATCTGTCTCAGAATTCAAGTTTTGCTTATTGTCCAACAATTTGTGGAGAATCCTCTTTGAGAAGCTTAGCTACACGTGAAATCCCCAACATATAATGGACCCCAAGGGTTCCTGTACTGCCACTAAATCTGATCTATATTTATTTTTTTTGCAACTGTCATGAGCGAATTCGCTGTATACAAACTTCTTATATTCCACGTACCAAATCTTGTGTCCATTTTCATTAGTTTTAGGTCGTTTATCCATAGAATTCGTCCAGTTCCAAGGTACTTTGTAACTTTTCGTAACAAGCCTATTTTTTTTACTTTTCTTTTACTGTAAGTAGTTGTTAGCCCCACTTCCAACCTCCGAGCTGAAGTGCCACCCCTTGGCAGCTGTCCACGACTGCAGCTAACCTCCATATCTGGAGGCCATCTCCTCCATTCGTAACTTGAGGTTGTGCCATGCCGTGGTGACAAGGGACACACTTAACATGGCTCTCAGAGCCGTTAGACAGTAAAATATGGTCATAAGTCCAGTGGGACTCGGATCCAAGAATAACTGTGCTGGCAAGGCCCAGCAGCAATTTAGCGGTCAGTGAGAGTCAGTTGACTTCAGCTGAGTTGGCTGGTTGGTGAGTGACTGAGTTAGTCACTTAATGAACTGCTGAGTTCAGTCATTGTGAGCTGTTGCTGTGAGAAGCTGGTAGTTGAGGCTGGGGACAGTTTGGGAACCCAGAGGAAGGGCAATGTCCACTCCTAGAACAATTGTTATGCATATAATGCAAAAATTGTCTTTTATATTACAGCTTTGTTTTATTTTATTGCACTTCATGCATGCCTACTTCACAGATTGTAAATTTATATAGAATTCACTAGATACCAGTATTCAGATTATCCATTGTTTTTAAGTATCTCCTCTGCTAACTATTGTCTTTAAATTCATAGGAAATTCATTTCCATTTAACAGATTTTTGCTCTACAAACAAATTTTGAGGAACAGACCCCTTTCATAAAACAAGGATTTTGTGCACTAGAATAGGAATCACTCTCTTTTAACCCATCAGAGAGGAATGAATGAAGGACACACTAAAATGGTGCCATACAGTATATCACATCATTGTATGTAGGAAATTAGCCTTTAATGCACAAAGATGCACGATACAAATTTCAGAATGATTTATACTATCTTAATACCCATAACAACAGCATGATTGCAAATAAATCCTTAATCCACATACAGGATGCATCTTCATTCATTTTCAAAGTTTCTTGACATCATTTGTTCATTTACTAGCTGACTGAAAAGTGGCCTGTAATTAGAACATAATTTTATTTATTTGCACACAAGTTAATATAAAAAATATTATAAGTAATTTTATCATTCATAAAGACCACAGACTGTCCTGTTCCATATTTCAAGTGACCAAGATCCACGGATTGCATATATGGTGTCTGCCATATAAAGAATATTATACAAAGCATATCATTTAGTTTGTAATATTTGAGGCTTTCACGGCGGTGACTATGAAGAAAGCAGTCTTCTGGGATTTGGCACCGTGTATATGTGGTGTTAACTGACGTTTCGGAGGAACGTATTGCCTCCATCTTCAGAAGAAAAAATATAAGAAATCTGCAAGCGAAGAGACCGTGAGAACCGGCAAGTCTCTTCGCTTGCAGATTTCTTATATTTTTTCTTCAACCCTGAAGATGGAGGCGATACGTTCCTCCGAAACGTCAGTTAACACCACATATACATGGTGCCAAATCCCAGAAGACTGCTTTCTTCGTATCATTTCGTTCTTCCAAAAGAAATAGATGTTGCAAAGGAAGATCTTGTTGTAACAGCTAATTCTCTGTAAGAGCCCTTATTGAAAAAACAGTTCATTTTTAAACTCATTCTGTCTACATAATCAAACAACTGATAAAGTTAACAGAAATAGATGATTAATCTGAAGACATGTGAGAACATGGCTGACAGATGGCACTGAAGTATGGGCTACAGGCAGACCCAATGAAATGATTAATGTAAGCTAAAATGTGTTTTGTATGATGAAAAGCAGATTACATCCCCCATGGCTAGGAAGAGAGCAAATAGTGGCATAATTTATACACTTAAAAATAACACATTCTATACATGTTGAAATATATACTGTAGAAAGCTATAACCCCAACCCCTCCTTAGAAAGCCAACATTCCAAATCATAAGAAATTTTCTAAAAAAATGCTTTTAACAACTATAACATGCCAACTAAGCCTAATACTAGGAAGGGTGATACTGAAAAATCAACAAAAATGAACAGTGAAAATGACTCTAATAAACAGTACAATATCATCTGAACATCTTACTTGTACATGTACAGGAAAGCATAACCATTTTCTTGTTGAGAGAAGCTGGTTACTTCCTCCTCCATTCTGCTGGTTACAATTTCATCATTGTAATGATTCCATTTTCTGGTTGTCAGATTATAAACATCTGCTTCATAATGACCTAGAAAGAGCATATTTGTGCCCTTTTACTATTTAAACTCTCCTTTTATTGTTGTTTATAATGAAGTTATTCTGCACTAAAATACATGAATCATTTCAAATGCCACTGTACAGATTTCTTATATCATCCTCCACTTCCCTGGCTCTTATAAGCATTGTACATAAACTCCAAGCTATCTGGTATGCAAGCATCCAGAGTTATCGTCCAACTAACAAAGATTTAATAGAGCATTTATAATTTTTATAAAGTTATTATAACATATTTGTGATGCATGCATGTTTAACTGCCATTCAGAATTTCTCCCTGCCACCACTAGCAGTGCTGCCTGTCATCTTTCCTCATGTAGATACTCTTACAGTAGAGGCTAGTTGAATTTCTGGTCACATTATAGTAGATGTATCAGAAATCTGTGTACATCATTTGGGTTCGTATAGTTTTCCTCATGCAACAAACAGATTCAAGTAACTGGCACACCCCATTGCTGGTTAACAGGAAATTACTGAATTCTGAAGCGGCCTCCATAGTCTAGGGGTAACGTTCCCACCTCATGACTCAAGGTACGCGGATTCAAACCCGGCGGAGGTCGTGGAATTTTTAAGGGCGGAAAAATTCAGGGAACAAGTCCTGCGGGAGGGACTTTAAGCCATGGGTCCCGTGTCGTAGATTTATGGCACGTAAAAGATCCTCATGTCTCTAGGAGACCTCTGAGCAAACTTAGGTAAAAAGTTTCCTGCCCAAGTAGTTTCCAATGCCTCTGTTAGATGGGGGAAGTATCAGGTACCATTTGCCAGTAGAGGGGCTGAACTCGCTGGCTGAGCGGGGCTGATAGCAAGCACCAGTACCAGTAGGGTATGGCAACAGCAGAAATTAGAAGGGGGATGTACAATAGACTACTAGTCGCAGCGCATGGGGAAACCCACCCCCTCTAATACTAACACTAATACTAACTACTTAATTCTGAGGGGTGATCTCACTATGGTGACAATGACTGAATCACACAGAATGTTGTGAACATGGTTATGACTCTTCAGTTTCCATAATGGATGGGAAATTTCTTGACCAGCTGAATGATTGTTAGTTTCTCAAGATGGACTCTGTTCCATGAAGTCAGTTCGTTAATTAGTTAAAATATAACAATATAAAAATGTGTTTTGACTTGCACCGAAATATGTACATACTGTTACAACCCAGATCACACTCTTCAATATATAATTATTTCTTTAACAGCATACAAGGTGATTAAAACTTTTGTGATCGGTATGAACAATGCGGAACAACAGAATGAAATACTTTTTCAGATTTACATAACTGGGAGTACTAATGAGTAAATTAGTGTTTTAATTGGTACAATACAAGTAAGAACTATTTTGAATTGTTTCATTTTGGTCCGTTACACTATCAATCACTAATTGTCAATAGATTTTCCGTCAAGTGCAACAATATATATTTTGATCACTTAATTATCTCATCTGCCTTACATGTTTCGGTTCCAAGGAACCATCTTCAGAGGCACTTATAACAAACCATGAAAACACTGGCACAGCTCAACATCCACAATATGTAATTATTCGTGGAAACTATTACATATAACGGAGTGTAAAGCACAACACTTCCCAGTATCTTGAATGCAGGTATAGCACTTGCATCTAAAAGACCACCCTCAAAACCGAGTCGTCAACGTTAAAATTTAAAGTTAAAAAATTAAAAAACGTTCAAGTAAAATATTATTCAGGCTCCTTCCTGGTGAATCGTCCCAATGGGGGGAGGCGTCAGCACAGAGTTGTGTAGGCTTGTGGTCGGGTGTATCTTACGCGGTGTGTGTTGTGTACGCAACACTGCCTATTAACACCGTACGTGTATAGTTAATTCTTGAAATACTTGAAATTAGATTAAACTCATCAACATCAAAATTATACACTGTCCATTAAATGTATATTTAGTTTGTGGTAAATTTACTTCATGGGTCACATATGTAAATTTCTTATTAATAAATCATTACGGAACGTACCAGAATTAGGAGTATCACCTTTGTGTGATATGATGGCTAGCAGTGTGTACTCTTGCTTATTCTTTATAGCATTTAGATCTTCTGTACTAAGTTGCACTGTATGCTGAAACTGTAATAATAACAAGATTCTATCTGTATTGTAGTACACAGAGTTTCCAATATGCATGCATCTTTTGTAGTGTGACATTCTGATTATTCTGTTATTCCATTTACTCTCTTATGAAAATATGCTTCTATGATAGGATACTTATGAAAATCTAAATGACCCTACAACTACTTGTAAGGGCCTCTAATATCAAATTACATCCAAATCTGTCTGGCAACTCTCAAATTGTACATAAGGATGGAAAATAGACACAGTCTCTCCTATATGCATTCATTTTATGCATGTCATGTGAAGAACACATAATGTAAATGTGAATGGTGATATAAAGAAAATTCACAATCAGGGCGCTTAATTGACCATCAAGAGAAATTTCATAATGTTCCAGAATGCCCTCCTTCCCCACCACAGGTTATGGAATTAAAAATTAACACTAACTGAATTATTTTCAGGTCCAGCAGAAGGAAAATTTTAGTTAAGTTGTTTACATTATCACTTCCTTAATTAGAATGTAACTTGACTTCAATTACATTTAGGTTAGATTCCTGGAAAACAGAACTCTAATTGAAATGACAACAAAACTGGTTCTGATGACATATCACTTCACAAGTGCACCTAGAAGATGGCACTGCAAAATATATCTGTAAAAATGTTCAGCAGCTATGTCGACTGTTATAGCATACATTGCAACTGAAGATGCTGAATACAGATCACATGGCAATGACCAATCTATCACGGCTTTTCTGAGACCGATATTATGTTCTTGTTTTGATGTTCTGTAGAACTCTGGGGATTTTCGGTGGATAACTAACCATATTAGATTTGAAGCTTTCATGGCAAATAAATGTCCTAAAATTTTCTCAGCTAATTACCCAAGGGAATTTTAGTGCAACTAATTATATGTTACTTTAAATTGGCAAGTTTATTTTTCCTCATCCTACATAGCATTATACTAGCACAATTTAAAGTAAGGGAGGTGTAAACAAGGCTTCTCTGGGTACTTATTGATTAATTATAATAATTAAATGTTTTACTTTTTCATCTTCGTTGTTCCTTCGAGATGAAGAGGAACCCGTATCTCTCTCCTCTGGCCAAGAAAATCTAAACAAGGACAACATATTTATCAGTAGTTATCATAAACCACTCTCACATTATTCTGTAAATTATTTTACACTGTGTGTGACTTTATGCTAATATTATTGGATAGTTATTTGCCTTATATATTTTAATATTCATGTTAAACAAAAACACAGCTAAATCCTGGACATATGTGAAGCAGGAAATTTAACTAGGTAAGACAGAACATTTTCAGGAAAAAGTTGTTAAAAGACTCCCAGATATAGCAGATGTCTTTTTTTTTATTGTTAGTGGGTTTGGACTAAGTCCCTTATACTGTGGCTACTTCTGGTCTATTGTACCAGGTGAGGGTGATTGCGGAGCAATTGGTGGAATGAAGATTTTCAGGGGAAACTGAAGTACTTGGAGAAAACCTGCCCCAGCGCTACTTCATCCACCACAAATCCCACTTGACCAGACCCGGGATCGAACCCGGGCTGCCGCGGTTAGAAGCCAGCGACTAACCGCTTGGGCTATGGCGCAGCCTAGCAGATGTCTACGAAGGAGCAGTTTGAAAGGGTATGAGTAAAAAAAAATGTGATTTATATTAAAGTAAAATCCAGGCAATTGCCCCAGCTTTAATTCTCCCTTGGTCTGACTATGAAGGCATAAAATTTTTAACAGAATCTCTGGTGAGTTGTTAACAAAACAACCAGGGTGGGGGGAATGGTACATACTTAAGCTACTTCTCAGTGTCACTGCTGCAACTGAAGCACTTCCATCAGAAAATGAGTTTTTGTATACTTGTGTTAAAGAAGACTTCCCATCTGTGAGCTCAGCCATGTTTTGACACCTTCAATCAGTTCCTCATTATTGTTGAAGCGCTGTGATCGCAACCAATTCTTCAGCTAGGTAAACAGGTGGTAGTTGCTCACAGAAAGAAAAGGGCTTTAAGAAGGATGGTCAAACAACTCCCAGTTGAAATGCTCCAGCAGTGCTCAAGTGTAAGCAGCTGTTTGTGGACGTGCATTGTCACAGAGGAGCACTTAACCCCATGTCAGCATTCCATGCCTATTGTTCTGAATGGATCTGTGTAGTTTTTTTTAGTGTTTTGCAATACACCTGTGACATTATTGCAGTCCCTCTTTGCATGAATTCCACCATTAGCACTCCTTTCCTCTTCCTGAAAACAGTTGGCATCAGGGAAAACATTTGTCTAAACATTTTTGGATTGTTTCGTGAAAGTGTGTGCATCCACTGCTTTGACTGCTCTTTCGTTTCAACATTCACAAATGAAACCCAGTTCTCATTACCTGCTACTCCCATGATGTGACTAAGAAATTCTTTGCCACCTTTGTGGTATCACTCTATAAGGTCAAAGCCAAAGCCATTCTCTGCATTTTGTGCACACCTGTGAGCATTTTTGGAACTCATCTTGTGCAAAACTTCTGATAACCTAACCTGTTATAATATTGTAGAGAACAATGCATGACATTTGTGGAAAATCATATGAAAGTTCTGAAATTGTGAAGCACCATCTTTCACAAATGTGTTGGTGAACACATTGAACAAGATCATCACTCACTACAGATGGCCGACCACTTCACTCTTTGTCATGAATATTCTACACCACTGTCTTACAGTTTCTTCACTTGTTACATTTTGGCAACAAACCACGCATAATTCATAATTCCACAGCACTTATGTTTTCGGCATGAAGGAAGCAGATAAGTGCGAATTTCGGAGCTGGTGAAATTATAAAACACATGACACATCATAATTCACTCTTTAGAGACAAGAACAAACACTACTTCACCAATTATGTGATGGTTTACAAGGCAATGAGTCATATGATGCTACCTTCCATGTTCGAGCTCTCTGCCAATCCTACATTAGTTGCTAAAAATAAACGGACATTACTTTCTGAATAGCTGTCATAAATTGGTTCACCAACTGTCTCCCAGATTGAAAACCAATTTTTCTACTGAGAGAGAAAATAGAAGATTTTAAATTGTGGTACTACAGGACTTGCAGGTAACTTCAGAGTAATGGTATTGGTTCTGGCTAGTTGAGCTGCATGCATGTTCCATTACAGGAGTATAATGAAAAGCCAATAAATATTAAAGCAAGGAAACAGTGATATGATAACATTTCATGCAAATTATTTACATCAACTTTTGTTTGTGATGCTGTAACTGCACATAATGCATAATAAGCTGAGAAATAACTATAGCACAACATGTATACTTATAAAGCACAAAACATGCTTTAATATTTCTTAATCAGTTAGATGGTTGCAGTGGAATGATTGCTGACGTTTCTATTCTGAAACTGATACTTATGTCCTTAGGGACAGATGGGTCGATGAGTTTAGAATTTTTAGTTGTTGAATCTAACGCTGGATGGTAGCAATTAGTATACATTCCCACTGAAGACAATGTAACAGTAATCCAATATGAACAAAGATTTTAATAGGTTTCTCACATCAATCATGTACTATAAATAATATTTATTATTGAACAAAATTGGTATGTATATTGCTGATAAGTAGGAAAGTGTAAAATTGAGGAAGGAAAATTAATAAATTCTCAAGTCCTTTTTCTTTTAAATACTATACCAATTTTTACTACTTTTGGAGCAGAGAAAATGATGTGAGTAAATACACACAACTTACTTGATCATGGATTCCAGCTCTTACGATGGGGACAAGTTTAGGATGGTAGGGTCCAGGATGCCTGCTGTTACAAAGGAGTTGCCACTGGAAAAACAACACATTCTCTTCCAAAGTTTATACCATTTTCAGTTCTTACACAATGGTGGCTATGAAGAGCTCTATCATCAGGGATGTAACACTTTGTAGTCTGTTGAACGTCAATTACACACTACCTCTCTCAGCTGGATTTTTGCTTGGCTTCTTCTTCGAGCATGAAGATGGAGGCGACATTTTCCTCCGAAATGTCGATTGACTTTAATAGGACTACATGGCATTATATCTCAGAGGATATAACTCTTCATGTTCTATTTATTTAGCAGTTATTTTAACAATGCTGTCAGTAGTGTCAAATGGTATGGAGATTTGTGAATAATGAATTGGAAAGGATGTGAATGGAAGCAGTTGTGGCCTAATTTGTGGTACTATCCTGATAACTATCAATATAGCCAGTGTCCTAGCCAAGATTTGGACCAGGCACCTCCTGAGTCAAAATAATATGCGTTACTATGCAACCAACTTGATCAGTTTCTTTGATTATATAACTACGTAAATATAAGAGGCAGTTAGAGTGGCATACAGTCTGTGTCAAGTGTGGGACTTGATATATGGACAGTCATAAGAGAAGATGATAATGATGACACATTTACATTTTATTGAACTCTTGGGATCCCACATTTCCTCTGACTAACCTATAAGCTATTTGTAATGAAAATAATAGCATACATCGCTTACAGACAAAAAATATATACATTCGACTTAGATAGTTTATTATGTACTTTCTGCCATGGTTTAAAACTGAAAATTTGACAGAAGAACGGACAGGCATAATATTCAAATTACTTGCACTTTGTACAAGGAATGCAGGGGGCATATGGTAGCATAGTTGGTTGAGGCACTATGCTGCAAGCTAGAAGGCTGTGGGTTCAATTCCTGATTAGGTCATTGGATTTTTCAAGTGACCTAATCCTTCCAGCTGCACCATGGCCCTGAGGTCAACTTGGCCTCTCACAGAAATGAGTACGAGGAATCTTCCTGGGGGTAAAGAGCAGCTGGTGCGTAAGCCTGACAATGCTACTGCCATTTGTGAGCCAGTTGTCTAGAAAATGTGGCATGTTTGACATCTCACAACCCTATGGGCCTCTGTGGCCTGTTACAGGGATAGCTTTACTTTTTTACAAGAAATGCATAAACAGTATTCAATATGTAATTTTAGCTAGTTATATTTCCTGTAAAATAAGATAAAAATATTTGTTGTTACATATATTACAATATAGTTTATGAATGTTTTACATACCTTTTATTATTAGCTGACATCCACTGCCGAGGCATCATCATTTCAGATTCACTAATCACATTTCTCACTGTCAGGGTTATAGGTATCTTCAAGTACTTACACAGTTTCTTAATAACATTATTTTGCATTTCAAACCGGTTCACATGTAGCACTAAGAACCTAAAGAATAAAAAATAAGGATATATTACCAAAGAGCTGTTTATAGTAATAACTTGTTCTGATTTCACTCAATTTCGAAACACGTTTCCCTTACTAATTGTCTCACATCCCATGTAAGGGTAATCTTTGTAGTCACTATCATAAGAACCTTAGATGTCAAATACGTCATATAGGATTTGGAGGTATGTTCATGGTCTCTCTTCCCCATTAAATTTTAAATTCCTTAGTGCCAACTGTTCATTACTTATTGCCATAGAAACCGAAAGCTAAACATAAATATCATGCAGCTGCCATGTTGTTTTATATACTACAAAAATTTCTTTAAAAAAAGTGGCATATCTCTAAAAGACCTGTTAGCATACATCATTTTAGAACTCTACATGAAGTGGTGCTAATATCAACCCCCATCCCAAAAGTTCATGCATCTGCCATTTTTTTTTATGAAGGAAATTAATAAATATATGTGATGGTGGGATATCTACCAGTGGCCTGACAATCACACTGATTTTAATAAAATCAGCCTGTTTGTTCAAAAGTGATGGTTGTGGCTGTTTAGAGTATAAAAGACCTTCATTTAATCAGTCTCAAAAACATGAAAGCCCAGCCAGATGTTGTTTTTGCTACTATCTCATGTTCCTAGACAAGTTTCAAATTGTATCCTTATATTTCGGCCACTGGTAACATAATTTAATTATGAGGAGTCCAGGTTGGAATGCAAAATATAAGATACTGATCAACAGTATAAAAAGAATGCTCATATAAATATTTTTTTAATGCTCTATTAAAACTTTTAATGTCACATGCCAATACTTTAATATTATCTGGAAGATGATTATAAATCTTGACACCTGCATAAGCAGGACTTTTATGAAACATTGCTAGATGAGTCATTTGTTGGAACAAATTGGAATTATTGAAACTATGAATCTCAGAATTTTGTCTGAACCAAGTTTTATTTGCAATCACAAACAGAGCCAAGGAGAATATGTACTGTGAGGCCAGAGGTAATATATTTAATATTTTAAAGAATTTTCTGCAGGAATCCCTAGGTCTTGCCTTCATTAGTATTCTAACCATTCGCTTTTGAAGTTTAAAAATAATTGAGCTATGTGAAGAGGTTCCCCAAAAAATCAATCCGTATGACATAACTGAATGAAAATACGCATGATAAATCATCTTAAGGGAGTTCAATGATACAAAAGGTCTAATTACTCTTGCACCATAACAAGCTTTAGTGAGTTTAACAGCCAAATTTTCAATATGAGACTTCCAAGACATATTATTATGTAATACCAACCCCAAAAACTTTAATTCAGTAGTATAGGGAATAATTTTATTGTTGTATGTGACTTGAGTTTCAAAGTTGTTTGCATGTTTAAGGCTGAATTTCATACAATAAGATTTATCCACATTTAATGAGAGTAATTTTGCCTTAAACCACTTCGCCACACTATTAAAGACTAATTTCAGGTTACTGTCCAGTACTGTATTGTTTGGATTACTGACGATTACACTAGTATCGCCGGCAAATAAATTTGTTTGGGGATTTGCATTGGCGTTCATATATTTAATAAATATGGGTAGGTCATTAATATATAGTAAAAACAGTAAAGGTCCCAGAATGGACCCCTGAGGAACACCCTGTTTGACCAGACCCCAGTCAGATTCACTTTTATCATTAGGCCCATTTCTAACTTTCACCTTCTGATACCGATATTATACCATACCATAAAACTCAAGTTTATATAGAAGCACTTCATGGTTTACACAGTCGAAAGCTTTCTCCAAATCAGAAAAAATTCCGCCTACTTTATTTTTATTATTGATGGCTGTTAATATTTTATTTAATAGAGTATATGAAGCAGTCTCGGTGGAAAGGTTAGGACAAAATCCAAATTGTTCACTAGCCAAGATATCATTAGCACAGAGGTATGTGTTAGTAATCTTCTAAAGATAATTTTTTTAAACACCTTGGAAAATGATATCAACAAGGAGATTGGTCTATAATTAGAACAATCTTCTCTATTTCCCTTCTTATATAGAGGGCTAACAATCGAATATTTCACGCGTAAGGGAAATTTACCAGCTGATACTGCCTTATTTAATATACAACATAACGGGGAAGAAATGTATGGGGCACTTATTTTTAGTATCTTCAATGAAATCTCATTGTATCCAGAAGAGTTTTTGGAAGGTAAAGAAGAGATAACTTTTTCAATTTCCTTCGTTGTTATGTTATTGAAAATGATTTTAGGAAAAGGGCCCTTAGCAGCCAGGTTCAAATAATATTTGTATTTGTTATTTGAATCAGTATCAGAGGTAAATTGGCTAGAAATTTTTTGAGTAATATTATCAGCAACGTTTAAAAAATAATTATTAAAATTACTTGAGTTGATTTGGACTGTATTGCAGATTTTACCCTTTGAACAATCTTTACCCAGTTCTGCCCTTATAATGTTCCAAGTGGTTTTGGCAACATTATTAGAGTTGGTAATTTTGTCCTCATTGCTAAGTCTTTTTGCCTCATTTATTACCTTAGTTAAAATCTTGCAGTATGATTTATAATACTGCTTTAGATTTTCATTGTCATGAAATTTTGCCAAAAGATATAATTCTCTTTTCCTTCTGCAGGAAGTTTTTATTTTAGTGCTTAACCATTGTTTGGAGGAAAAATGTTCGTAAATTTTCTTTTGGGAAAAACAAGCATTAAATATCCGCAAATATACATCTACAAAATTATTAAACACACTATCTATATTATTGTCCTCAGCATTAAATACAGTTTCCCAAGTCTCAAACCTTAAACTTAGTTTGAAATCATCTAGGGAACAGTTGTTAAATGTCCGGATAATTTTGAAATTAAGGTTTGTCCTTTCCCTACTGATCTCTTTTTGATGTACAAACAAAGGTTCCCCGTCATGATCAGATAGACCATTAAATACTGGAGAGATCAAATAGTTTTCAAACTTAGTTAAACCACGCTACTTAAGTTAAAAGACTGCAGTATGTAATTTAATTGTTGCTTCATTTTATTATCTTCTAGATAATTTATATTAAAGTCACCACAGACTATCATTAATAAATTTGGTTTATAAATTTTGTTGATGACAGCTTCTAACTGGGTAATGAATAATGAAAAATTACTAGACGGGGACCTATAAAAGGCTAGAATACAGAATGTACTAGATAAAAATTTACATTTAACAGCGCACACCTCCATGGCTTTGTCTATACATAGTTCATTAATGCTGACAGGTTCGTAATCTAGAGAGTTGTGTAAATATATACATACACCTCCCTTAATAAAAGACTTTCTACAGTAACTAGTTCCTAAGTTGTAATTGGCTATGGCCACATTTTCAATTTGTGAATAATTTAGATGATGTTCTGTGAAACAAAGCACTTGCGGAAGTTCAGGATATAGATGGGCATAAATTTCACTAGTCTTATTTGCAAGGCCACAAATGTTTCGGTGATAAACTGAGAAGCCATTTTTCTTTAAGACTTCAGTATGGTTGTTACACTGTTTTTCTTCTACCATAAAAAAATCATCGTATCTATCTAGTGGAAATTTTCTTTGCCTATTTGATTTACGTTGTGGCTTGAGAGTTTGCGGTTTACTTATTTCTAACATAACATTATCAAGAGTACAATCTTTTATGCCAAAAAAAATCTTAAGCTCATTATCATGGTCATTATTGATTGCCTTCCAAGGCAAATAGATTGGTTTTGCATCTCTGTAAAAGATTTTAGTACAAATTAAGGCAATATTCCTAACCAGTATGTTCTTCCCCATTTTATTAAGATGGAGTCCACGCCTTGTAAAGAGAGCTCTATTTAAATCATGGTGTAATAAAGTAACATGCTTAAAACCTTTGGTACATTTCACTAATTTCCTATTAAAAACTTTTATCTCATCATTTACACATGACCAATTTTCCAGGTCGTACCTATGTGGAATATTCAACTTTGTTATCTTACATTGTCACCATTTTACTGGCATATGGATTGAAAGCAACTGTCATATCTTTAATTATAACTGGAGCACATGCTACCTTGGAAGAAGAGTGAACACAGTCTTTACTCTGCATTGCTCACTCTCACATTGCGCACATTTTAGTTCTCTTATTTCAGTCATCATGCAACTTTCCAGCGCTTCTTGCAGTGTGATTTCTCTGAGTGTTTCTGAAGGAATATTTACAATTAGGGTCAAGTGCTCTGTCTCTTTGCTTTCTTGTTTGGAGCACCTGAGAACAATACATAATTTTTATTGTATTTAGTTGGACACTCAAAATGAATAAATGCAAAAGAATTTTCTATTATTAATTTCAAGATTATTGTCCCAATTAATTTCCACAGCACTAAATATTGTGATATGTAAAATAATAATTTTTTACAGAACTATAAGGTTTATTTTGGACTCTATCCATCATCTGGTATATATGAAACAAAAAACCACAACATTTTGGAAACTGGATCTGTCTCCATCCTCAGGTGGATGGGGCAAGATAGACCTACTCAGTTGGGCAGTGATTGAGACTAGCTCTATCTAACAGGCCCAACTGAGTAGGTCTATCTTGCCCAATCCACATGAGAACTGAGATAGATCCAGTCTCCGAAACGTTGTGGTTTTTTGTCTTATATATATACCAGACGATGGATAGAGTCCAAAATAAACATTATAGTCCTGTACAGCAAATGCCATTGTCAGAATCCTTTTAAGTCTAATAATAATTTTGCCAATTACGAATGTTTTTCAGATGTGGTCTCTTTGAGGGAAGAAATGTTTGAAAACAGTGTTAAGGAAATTTTGACCTCTGTGCGACATAGTAATTTGGGAATGCAGTACATTAAAAAACAAGGAACTTAGTGATTGCTACAGGAACAGGATAGTGAAATCAATGTTAAAATAGGCTGGATATGCAGCTTACATAGGGAAAAGAAAAAGAAATTAATGCACAGTTTTATTATGGTGCAGTTAATTAGAAGAGCCAGTCTTGATGGAACAGAATTCTGTAAGAACAAAACAAGTTTTATTGTGTACTTACATCATGCATGACTGGATCTCCTTTAGCTTGAAAATGATATTCTCACTGACAGGATTTTGCAGTTGGATGTGCATGCTGCTTTCACCTTTTGGACAAGTGTTCATGTCACTTGCATTATTGCTGTTCTGTTCTTGTCGACAGCTGTCTTTAAGTGCAACATATACTTCATTACTGCACATTAGTCGATAAAATTCTTCGCGTAAAGCAGTGAGAAACTCGGTGAGAAATTCAACTGCATCTTCCTGACTGTGAGTAGTAAAGTGTTCGTTGAGAACTCCTAGTGTCTTATCCAGAAATCTGGGGGGGGGAAAAAAAATATATATATATATGTAAATAAAATCATAGCAGTATTGCTAGATCAGCTTTTAACTTAGACAGGCATGGTCATTTGAATCTGATTTCAAAACAGTGAAATATATTTAGAACACATAATATATCAAGTGAAATAACAATTTAATATATTTGTAAATGTATGCAGAGCATAAAAGTTCTGCCAGGTTTGCCCTCTTATTAGCTATAGATTTTCAATGAATGTAACACAAATGAAGCCTTCTTATCACATTATAAAAATATACTTTACAATTTCCTGCTCCCTCCACCATAAAATATTTTTCATTTTAACTTGGCTAATTAAAATATTTGGAGAATAAGCTCGGTCAACACACAGTTAAGTAACTGACATCCTTCCTTCATACTCTCTCTCACACATATCACTTGTTAAAACGATATGTATTAAACTTAATATGTCTAATACATATGTAGAACCAACAATATAGTAACTACTACAAGTGAGCATGAGCATACTCCAAGTTTTTGTTAAGTTGTGACTGGTTTCTTGTTTGTCTTGCTTTTACTACTTCAATAAATGTTTCCAACAGTGATGAATATTTCCCTTTTGATTCTACAATATTGGATTTTTCAAAAACGTTGACTAGGTCTTCTATAAATGGTTTCATTCCAAAAACAACTTGTAATGAGGAATTCATCCAGCACTTGTTGGTTCCTATAGGATTTGGAAACCTGAAAAGAATGCAAAAATAAACACTGATAAATATCCAATACGGGAAACAGAGGAAACAGCATAGCCCATAACATATTAACAGGCAGCACCTGGCCAGGATGATGATATTTCCTACTAGGCTACACTTTAATGAATCAAATTTCTAAACAAGGGAATATAACTGGTCTTACTAGGAACATACAACTGCGCCTCCATTTCTGGGGAAAGTGTTGCATAAGATCTTCTGTTCTGGCTTTTGTTTGCATACAGAATGCATAAAGATATCAGTTATCTTAGGGTCTATGCAGTACTGCATTTCAAAATTGATGGCACATTCTAAACATTTCAGAAAAAAAGCGTATTCTATCTTGTGTCAGCCATTCTGAGCACCAGTTAGAGTCAAATTACTGGATTTTATGCTTTCACAGTGGTTAACTGTTGAGATTAGTTCGATTCTTTGGTGGTTATGTTATGTGGAAGTGGACAATATTGCCCACATTTGTATGGCATAACCACTCGAGAATTAAACTAACATCAAGACTGGAATATTTTCACAAAGATTCCGTGGATATACATAACGAATAACATTAAAAGCAAAGAAAAAAGGGGGATCTAGATTCAAACTGAAATACTAGAAGCATCAAAATCTAATTCAGATTATTTTTAAGCTATGCATCCTGTTGCATACACAAATTTATGTTTTTCTTTTGCGTCACAGAACATGTTGATTCTGTTATAGTATATAATAAGTGATTGAACTGAATGTATCAATAAGTCTATCAGTTTATTATATTGAACACTACATGTTTTGGTCATGGTTGAACATCATCAGGTGGCTGAATATATAATTAAAATGGATCAATTTTTGGCCGCGTAGTTAACTTATAACTATATTGCTAAATACAGATGGATCCATGGATCCAGTTCCTAAATACATCAAATATCTGTGAATAATTTTATAGGAATACATATAACCTCACCCCATTTCAGCAGAATTCTTCATTTTCTTTTTCTCTCTTAATGGTTTCTTGTACTTGTCACTTTGAATATTCTCTACTGCCGGTGATGGTAAACTATGTGAATTCTTTCTATGTATTTCAAATTGATATGCTGATACTGATGAAGTCTTGCCAAGTCTTCTTGAATACATTATAGGAGATATGGAAAAATTTATTCCAGTATCTTGTGAGCTCACTGGTGTTGATGTTTTTCTTATCTCTGGGGATGAACGTAACAAAGTTAAATCAACAGCTGGAGGTGTTGTAGCGCAAATTATTTCGGAACTACTCTTCTCTTCTGTTGGAAAGAAGGGAAGTACAGGGTCTTCATTAGATGGCAAAAGTAACAGAACTTCTCGACTTTCAATCTCTTTATCTTTTCCTGTAGGCAATTGATTCATATTTAATAATAATTGTACTTCAACATCATTTTCTTTATAAGTACACAATGAATTTAAATCTGTAGTTGACACATCATCCTCAAGAATGGCTCTAAGGTACTCAATCTCTCTTTTCTGATTCTGAATTTCTAGTTTCCTAACATATGTCATTTCTGGCGAGACACTGCTATCTTTCATGAAAGAGGTCCTTCCTTGATTTGCTTTTTGTGGTGTGTCAGTCTGGGTTATCCTTTCAGTAAGAACTTTATTTTTCACACACAATGTTTGTTCTTGCGTGTTACTTTGTAATGTGTGAGTATGATTTCCTTCCTTCACAGAAGTGATCCTATGTGACTGTGAGTTATGTTTCTGGAATGGAAGTGAATATTTTACAGAATGCCTGGATGTGATCCTACGTAATTGTAAATTATTTTTTTTTACGTTGTCAAGTGGACGTTTCACACACTGCTTCTTTGGTGAATTTGACTTCATGTGATCATTCTTCTGTGAATAACTGTTCTGTATCTGCTTGCGATTTCGAAATATTTTTCTGTGCATCTGATTGGCCAGTTCACATTCTGGATCATATATGGTGAAATGATAACTTCTTCTCTTATCAAATTTCTCCTCACATAAGGTATCATCCTCATCTGAAGAAGCATCTGATATAATCATAGGATAGTGAAATCTTGGTTTGTAATGTTTCAAACGCCCACTGTCAAATGATAAAAGAACATGAATTACCACACACAGATATATATATATATATATACATAAATTATAACATAAATAAGTCAGCTTGTCTCCATATCAAAATTCAAGTCAGATACCTTACAAATGTACATCAGACACACTTGCAGTTACCTGACCTGCACCCTTTTTAACGTAATCACTATTCTTTTTAATTATCTCTTTAAAGTAATGTTTTGCTGTAAAGACTATTAATAGTCGAGATAAGTAAGCCCATATATATTCCAACAGTTATAGGAAGAATGAATTTTCTGCATGAGAATATAAGATCAATTGAGAAAATTTAAATACCTCTTCAAACGATAAGAAAACAAGAAACCTCTCATAAAAAGGTGCTGTTATTCAACAGAGAATTACACAAACGATAGTGATATAAATATTGGCTTTGAATTCATATAGAAGTAATACAATTTTTAGCCTTTTATAATTATTACTGTCATTCTCTACTTTTAATTACACTTTTACTTTATTTTCAAGTGTGTGATCTACAAATAGTTCTCGCATGACTTAATGTTATCCCCTAAAATCAAATTTTGTTATGATATTACAGATTTTGTAATCCTGTTATTTCATATACCCTAAATGCTTGTATGATAACTTAGGCCCACTGTTATTTTTGTGACAAATCCTATATCATTTTTATGTTGATCTAGAGGTTGGGGAAAAGAACAATACAACCAAATCACTTTATTTGGCCATTACCTACATTTGTAATATTTACCTGGAGTGTTCTGATGTCCTTGATGACTGGTGGGAGACGGCCTCTCTGCTATATGATCCAAATTTAGAATGGAAATCACCATCCAACTGAGAAGTTTTAGTCTTGAAGAACTTCCTCTATGTATACAGAGCAGTACAAATACAGAGCAAAATTCTGGTCATAATATAAAAGTGTATGCACAAAATTTTAATTTACATGCTGCTTCTGAAGTTCAAATAATTTTATAAAAATATTCTCACATTTTCTAACTCCTGGTACTATAATAGTAGGAACTGTACTTTTGCATACCTTGTATAGAGAAATATTTATATTCTCTTGCTTTTCATTCCTAGTGTTCTTCCTCAGTCCATTCCAGAATTCTGCAGTTTTCCTCCTTTTATTTCTATTAACAATAATAAATTAAAGTAACATTTACATGAAGGTACTTGAGCATTAATCTCTATTCTTTGTTCATAATGTTCAGAGGACTTTGTAAATTATTATAAATTTTGATACCAGCATTAAGTGCACTTTACTTGCTTCAAAAAAAATGCAATTTATGCTGGTATCAAAATTTTTAATAATTTACCTTATGTGAGCTTTACGAAAAAAAAGGAGCCATTTAGAGTGGTATTAGAAATATTCTTAAATAAAGATTCCTTGTATTCTGTTGATGAATACTTAATCTTTAGAAGCAAATTATAATATTTTTAAAAAATCTATCTTATATACAGGGTTTGTCCGAAAAGTAATGTCAGTGAGTCGATTAAAAAACTTTTATGGATTAGATCGGTGCAACACATTAAAAGGCTTCAAAATAGGCTTCTTCTGCGTCGATACATCGATTCCAGCGAGATTTCTAGGCATCGAAGGCGTCATGGTAGGCCTCCTCCGGAATGTCCTTTAGAGCCTTGGTGCAAGCCTCTTTGACTTCGCCAACTGTCCCAAAATGATGTCCTTTCATGAGAGTTTTCAAGCGCGGAAACAAAAAGAAGTCTGGGGAGCCACGTCAGGACTGTAGGGCGGCTGGGGAACCGTTGGCACCTTTGAATTGGTCAGGAAGCGGGTCACGAGGAAGGCGGTGTGGGCTGGCGCATTGTCATGGTGAAGTTTCCAATCGTCCGCGATGTCGGGCCGGATGAGACAAACACTTCGTTTGAGTCTCTTTAGCACTTCCATGTAGAATTTGGCGTTGATGGTTGTACCATGTAGTACAAACTCACATTTTCGTCGGTGGTGCTTGTTGATGGCCGTCCAGCGCGGGCTTCATCGTCGACCTCTTCACGGCCTTCTAAAAAGGCCCTGTGCCACCGGTAGACCTGACATTCCGACAAACAATCATCACCGAAGGCCGTCTTTATCATGGGAAAAGTTTCCACTGCAGACTTGCCAAGTTTCACACAAAACATGATGGCAATCCTTTGTTCCAAGGAGCGCTGCATTGCGGCTTGCACGGGAGACAAAAACGAGTTTCACGGAAAAGCCTTTCGTCACTCTCAGGAAGTTCGGAGACGACTAAGCGACCGCGGGTTCATAAGCTGACTTCCCCCTCCACCGATCCCAACCGGTCTGAGAGTGCTGCGACATATAGTCACTTCACAATAAAATAACTGACATTACTTTTCGGACAAACCCTGTAGCTATATCATAATCATAGAGTTTTGTTGCGCTCATAGCATATTTTGTATTTTTATGTACTTCATTGCTTATTCCATCCTACTGTCATCTGACAAATTCTGGATCTAAGGAGTGTTAGATGTGATAAAACAATATCAAGACACTTCAATCCAAAGACAAGACCAAGTCAAGCAAACTTATGATTCTGCCCACCATTCCTCATTAGCGCATATTCAGTTTCAATCATGGGCCAGATGTTGGGTATAGATGGGACAGTCTGGATCCTACGTCACATCAGACCCTAATGATGGAGACCGAGATGGTCCTTGAAACTTTGGTAATTTTAACCATCTGACACAGCCAAAGGTTGAGAAAATTTTATTAACTTCAGACATTGTGAAAGCTGTTACATAAAATATGCATTAGATTTGGATAATTTTTAACTTGAGATCTTTGGAAAGAATTTGCAGTGTCATTCCTCTACAATGACATCCTTCCTATTACTGTTAAAGCATCACCTGTGCAGATTCTAAAATTCTATCTAGAGTACCACAAAATATATGGTGAAATATACAGAATGCTTAATCAGGAAAGTGGCTGATCTATAAGTTATGCCTGCAACTTAGCCATGTTTCATTCTTTGAAAGTTTTCCTTCTCACAGTACAAAAATATATCTTCACACTAGTTGCAAGCCTGTAGAGAGACAGAAAGCTATCTGCCGTCTAAATATTACATCTGATGCAGGAAAGTGGTGAATTGGTAAATAACTTTTTCAGATTGTAGGTACAGCATAAGCAGCCACAAGAAGGTGAACTGCTACCCCAGACCTGAACATAGTTGCATATGGTATTCAAACAAATTGCAAAACCTGTATATTTATAAGGTAAACTTGATATAGTCCTACCTATTGGGTATCCACTTTGAGTTATCAAGAAAATCCTCTTCTCCAGATGTGATAGTGTCATAAACTGTGACCCTGTACAGCATAAGAAGATAGTTATTTCAAAATCGTCACAACTGTGATCAGTAATTGATAAAGAATGTCAGAAATTCATTGGCCAGTGAACATTTTATAACTAAAAACGTTCTTCAAACAAAGCTTGTCATGCCCCTTACCAGTCTTCTTACATAGTATATAAATGGTTAAAAGAACACTCCCAACCACAAGTTATAGCAAAAAATAAAAAAAAAACTCGTAAAAGTTTTAAGGGCTGTAAAATTTTTGTGTGGTTCTTATATTTTAATTATAGCTGTTTTTCATCCATTTTAAAAATTAGTGTACCAACTTTTTAATACATATTCCTAGTATGATGAAACACCCCTGATGATGGCAAACATAAGCCAAAACATATAGGGTCATCAAAGGTTTTATTTAACATACAGTGTGTTACGAATTAGCAGTACAGTAAGTAGGCCAGAAAAAATAGGAATTTGATTCCTGGCTGGGATAAGAGATTTTTCTCTTCTCCAGTGTATAGGATGGCTCAAGCCCATCCAGCCTCCTATCCACTGGGTAGCAGAACACTTTCCGTGGATGTAAAGTGGTCGAGATATGAAGCTGATCACTCATCTTTGTATAATGTTAAGGTTAAGAATGAATGGAGGAGATAACCTCCACTCCCCATACATCTTCATGGCATGCTGCTTACTTAAGTAGTGGATAGGTTTACCTTTAACTTTGTATCATATGATTTAACTGATGTTGTAAATATCTTTCACTTTCATTATACATGCTGGCAGGCCCAAAACACTTAATATCCATTTCGATGTAGTAAGTTGGGATGTTGGTATTTAAATGTCTTGCCAGCATAGGTAGATGGGCTGCCAAGACTGTAATATGTTAAACTCTGAAAAACGGGTACCAGGAATCTTCCTGGGGGGTAAAGGGCAGCCAGCATGTGGCTGACAACCTCATCACCAATGAGCCAACTGTCTAGAAAAATGTAGGAGCCTCAATGTCTCACAACCCCACAGGCCTCCAATACCTATTGCATGGAAAGCTTTACCTTCAACCTTTACCTGAATGTTGTGGTTTGCAATAGAGAAGCTACACAGGGAATGGCAATTAGCATGAGTGAATTCATACTGGAACAGGTGGAAACTGAATATGTGCTATTCCTAACTACTATAACTACACAGTATTTTCATCTGCAGTAACTCTAAAATTAATATAATGGGATAATATGCCATACCTAGATGTGTTTTGAAGTGCACTTCTATTGTCTTGCTTTGATAATGCAACTAGTTCATCAAATACATCTTCTGTGTTTGATTCCTGGACCCAGTACTTTTTATCACTGCGATATTGCTTTCCATGTGTAAAAAATTTTCTCTGTTAAGAATTAAACTTTGCATTAATCAAAGTTAGACTGAAAACACTTTCCTCATTCATTTTTAATGTTTACTGAAAGAAAGTACACATTTACAAAAAATCTAAAATCCATTCAAGAAAACTGTAAGCAGTGAAGTGGTTTCAGATACCAAGGTTCATAGAGATGCTTTATTAAACTGCTTGCGTATGATGGTTGCACGTTTACTTAGCCAGTGACATGTGTGACAGTTATATAACATACTGTTTCCTGATTCATGATGACATTAATTTTCTTGAACATTCATTCTACCAGAGCTCAGTTGGCCATATATGAACCGAGACTGGTGGCCATAAAACTGTATTTCAGCAGAACAAAATACAAAAGAACTATTGAAAATGAAACAAAATTTATTTGGCATCATCCTAACATTTCCTAATCCAGATTGAAGATGTGAGGTTTGAAGTTCTTATAGTAGTGATTATGATGATTACTATACTCTGGGGGGTACTCTTCTACTCTGCAGCTAAAAGTAGCAGGTTCCTCTGAAACAACAGCATCTACCAAACTACATGGCATCACATCCAAGAAGATGTAAATCTTCAAACTGAAGATATTAAAACTTCATGCATGCATGTTGGTATAACAGACTTAGCTACAAATGGAAGATATGGAAAATGTCAGCTGGAATATGGGCATTTTTTACTCAGAACTAAAAGTCAGACATTAATGTTGATAGTTTAATGTGAATTTTTGTGTGTGTGTGATTGTGAGAAGAGGGCAACAAAACTTTGAAAATTCAATGAGCCAAATTATTCCAGATTAAATTAGTATAAGAGATTCTAATATGAGCCATGGGTGCTGCTTCTGTACATGAATTTAAATTCTGTTAAAATATAATTAAATGTGAAAAGATATTTTTGGACAATTTTAGCCAAGCAAATCTGCACTTCTTCAAAATGTGAGATATCAACATATACTCACAAAATTAAATATTACTTCAGTTGATATGGCAGTCATTTCAGCTCTTGAATCATCTCAAATCATGAGCACAGTGCAGGGCAAATCAACCATACAGTCTTTTCTTTTGGTCATTTATATGGAGTGTTACACAATTTAATGACTCAAGTTCAGGAGCATATACCTGAGGTATAAGTATACCCAGTCAGAAATGTCATAGAAACATAGGTTTTATTCTAAATGGTTATTGATTTATCATTCCCAGAATGTTAGAAAGTTAAAAGTAAGTGAACAAGTATTTACATGAAGTTTTTGTTGCAGAACTTACAACACCTTTTCTAAAAGACCACCCTCAGCCACAGTACACAACCTGGCTTGCCTGCAAATCAAGTGTGTAGCTCATGTTACTTCAAATGTTTAAATGTCCATTTATTTTCCATATATATCCCTACAAGTTAAAAAAAACCAGGATGTGGAAATTGTCCTTTGAATACAGATATCAATATGCATATACAAGATCAAAATCATATACATCAATCAATAAACATAAATAATAATGTAAGGTAAAAGAATCTAATAAAAATAAACATACATTAAGAATAACTTACTCACGTTATTAATCCCACTTGGCTTTAACAAGCCAAGGGATAATAAAACAAGTCAAATACATATACATACATGTGTGTTACAAGATACAAAACAAAACAAGCAAGACAGGATTATGCCACATGCAATAATACCATAATTAAAATA